ACTCTGCCTTTCAAATAAATAAATAAATCTTAAAAAAATGTTTATAGGAACTCATGAATACAATTTCCTTTTGTTCTTTTGAATTTCTGAATTTTTATGTATTTTCTTTATTTGAAAAGCAGAGAGAGAGAGAGAGAGAGATAGGGGTGGGGTGGGAACATCTCTCATCTTCCAGGAGCATCCCACACCCACTGCAATACAAGAGCTCCACTTCTCAACTATCCACATCGTCTGAGGTTAGGCCAGACCAAGGCCAGGAGCCCAGAACTCAATCCAGGTCTCCCACGTGGTGGCAAAGACCCGAGTAACTGAACCATCACTGCTGCCTCCAGGAGTGCACACCAGCAGGAAGCCGGAACGGGCAGCAGAGCCAGGAGTCTGACCAGGAACCATGACATTATTTGCAGATACCCCAGGCAGCATCTTAACCGCTGTACCAAGCGCCTGCCCCAGGCACCTTCTCCCCACAGTGAGCACAACTCCTTCATCTGATCTCTCCATTTTCTTTCCTGAGGATTTCCCCTCCCTATTCTCTCCCCCGGGCATGATGAGGAAAAGCACCAACCAAACGATGAATAACTAACAGGGCCGGCACTGTGGTACAGCAGGTTACGCCGTCACTCCCTGCACCAGCACCGGGAACTTCTGGCCCAGCTCCTGGCTCATGCACCTGGGAAAGCAGCGGAAAATGGCCCGAGTACTTGGGCTCCTGCCACCCACAGGGGAGACCTGGATGGAGCTCTGGACCCCTGACCCCAGCCGTTGTGGCCACTTGGGGAGTGCATCAGCAGACGGAAGATCTCTCTGTCTCTCCCTTTCTCTGTCATTCTGTTAAATAAACAAATCTTAAAAAAAGAAGAAATGCTAATGTCCAGTTGACACAGAAAAGATGCTCAATCCAGCACATAAGCAAAGAAATATGAAACAAACCACTTTAATCCTCATGAGATGAGCAAAGATCCAAAAGACCGACAACACCCGGAGGCGAATGGAGGCGGGCGCAAGCGGTCGGAAAGGGAATCCCACCGCCAGCGCTGCTGGCTGCAGACCCACTGGCACAAGCTATTTTGGGGGCCATCTGGCAACGTCTTTCAGAAACGCACGCATTTCCCCTTTCAGCCTGCACCAGGAAGAGCCCCACAGCGTGGGGGAGCCGGGCAGGGATAAGGAAAGTACACCAGGGACCTCGAGGCGAGGGGGCGGCTGGGAGGCGGAGCGCTGTGCGCGGGGCAGCCGGCAGGCACCCAAGGAGCCGGGGAGACAGCAAGGGCAGCCCTGCCAGGCTCGCAGGGAAGACCTAGGGACCTCGAGGCGAGGGGGCAGCTGGGAGGCGGAGGGCTGTGTGCGGGGCAGCCGGCAGGCAGCCCAAGGAGCCGGGAGACAGCAAGGGCAGCCCTGCCAGGCTCGCAGGGCAGGCCCAGGAATGCAAGCAGGTCTCCGCTGGACAAGAGTTGGCCACCTCCCCCTCCCCATCGCCCCCACCAGCACTGACAGTCATGGTCGCAGCAGGAAAGGGGCCAGGAGCTTCCCACACCCGCTGCGGTACAAGAGCCCCACCCACAGCACGGTGCTCTGCTGCGTCTGTGGAAAAAGAACCCCAAGAGGAGCTCACGATGTCCCTCCCAAGGCCAGGGCCCAGGGCCAGGCCAATGACAGCCTGTGGCTGTGGGGCTCCCAGCAGATGGTGCTCTCCTGCAAACGTGGTGGCCCCTGCAGCCACAGCAGATGGGGGGGCCGGCGGGAGGGCAGCCCAGGCTGTGCTGGGAAGGCCACATGGCCACTGCACCTGCTCCTGCACAGACACAGCTCAGCCCAGGGTGGCTGAGGGGCCTCATGACAGGGCACTCCAAGGGGAGGGTCCTGCACACTGGCCAGGCCAGCCTGATGCCACCCAGGGCTGAGAATGGCCTTCGCGCCTCAGGCCTCCCTGTGCACAGGCCCAAAGCTCAGCCTGCGGCAGATTGGACACTGGGCCGGCGGGGTTGCCCCAGGCAACCGCATCCTGTTTCCAGGCTGTAAGCCAGCCAAGAAGTCCTCCCAGTCGGGTGACTCCCGTGCTGCGCGGGGCCACCCCCACACATGACCACACCCTCATCTGCCACGGTCCCCGCCCTCTACCTACAACTCTCATCCAGACACCCCAACCCCCAGGCACCGCCCGTTTCCTGTGCTGTCACCGCCAGTCGTCCTCACCCTCTGCAGGATTAGCTCCGACAAGCCAGGAATCTTCTCCATTATCTCTGACAAGCCGGGCAGTTGGAACCAAGCATTGCTCAAAGCTCTTGCTCCACTGAACAGCACGGCCCTGCCCAGGGTGAGGGCTATTCTATGATCCTCAACAGTGTCCGGGCTGAACCCTTGGGAACGAGGGTCTGGAAGCTCTGACAGCATCTGGACGGTGTGGTGACACGCCAGTTCGAGCTCCAGGGACAAGCGGCACTGAGCGAGCACAGACCAGGCGGGTGTTGGGGACCGTGTGTGGCAAGTGCACACGGCGTCACTGCGCCTGGTCACACACAGGGGCAGGACCCTGAATCAATGCATTACAAGTCGGGGGAAGCCCACACACGGGGCTCTCACTACTGAGAGTTTAAGGAAGGACTGGGCTAGACCGCTGGGCCCTGTGACGTCCAGGCTACCTCTTGCGCCAAGCCCCAGCTGCCCCTTCTCCATCACCCCAGGACTCCTTGGCCTTGCAGTCATTTGTTGGATTTACCATGGCAACCACACCTGTACCGATGGATGCCAGGCAAGGCAGCTGGACCCTCTGCGCAGCTTGGCAACATTTCCTGTCTTATTTTTTTTTTAAGATTTATTTATTTATTTGAAAGGCAGAGAGTTACAGAGAAGCAGAGGCAAACAGAGAGAGAGAGAGAGAGAAGAGAGAGAGGTCTTCCAACCACTGGTTCACTCCCCAGATGGCCTCAATGGCCGGAGGTGGACTGATCTGAACCCAGCAGCCAGGAACTTCTTCCAGGTCTCCCACGTGGGTGCAGCGGTCCAAGGACTTGGGCCATCTTCCACTGCTTTCCCACACCATTAGCAGAGAACTGGATTGGAAGAGATGCAGCCGGTACTCAAACCGACACCCATGTGAGATGCTGGCACAGCAGATGGCGGTTTTACCCATCACGCCACAATCCGGGTCCCTCCTTTTTTTTTTTTTTTTTTTTTTTTTTTTCATTGAATGATAGAGTTTAAGAGAGTAACGGAGAGAGAGACCAGACTTCCATCCACTGGTTCACTCCCAAAATGGCCACAACAGCTGGAGCTGGACCAAGCTGAAGCCAGAAGCTACAGAGAGAGAGATCTTCCACCCTCTGGTTCACTCCCCAAATGGCCGCAACGGCCAATGCTGGGCCAGACCAAAGCCAGGCGCTTCATCCAGATCTCCTACATGGGTGCAGGGGCCCAAGTACTTGCACCATCTTCAGCTGCTTTCCCAGGCCATTAGCAGGGAGCTGGATGGTAAGTGGGGCAGCTGGGACTCGAACCGGTGCCCATATGGGAATCTGGTGTTTCCCATTACGCCCCAGCACCGGCCCCAACACCCTGCTTCTTGATCAGGTGTGGGCCATGTGGGGCGGCCCCTGTGTAACAGTCCATCAAATGCTACATCTGGGATCTATGTACTTTCCCATGGATGCGCCAGCCTGCGAGGAGAGGGAAGAAGCGCCTGTGTCTGTAAGGAATGCAGTTCCTCCTGATCGTGTCCCTGCCTGTGCCAGGGGCAGCACAGCGTGGCCATCTCGCTCTTGTCTCGTTCTGTCCTTTACGATCCCCGTCCCTCCGGAAGAGTAAGGGGCTTGACACAGCACACGCGGGCTGCCAAGGCCAACCTGAGCCCTGGCCCCGCAGCCGCTCCATGTCGGCCCAGCCTCTCCCCCGAAGCAGCAGCTCTACTTGCCCAGATGTTCTAAACACAGTGGCTCCATCTCGGGCCCAGGGCCCTCCCCACGAGGCAGCCCCGCCACGGGCAGCCCCCACGGGCCATCCAGCGTGACTGGGTGTCTGGGACAGATTAGCATGTCAATCTGTGCCGATGGACAGGGACGGGCCTCTCCTCTGGACCGCTGCAAACATCCGAGCCATGCGAGACGTCGGTGTAAATCCCCAGAGGGACCGGAACAGGGGGAAGTAGCCTCCTGATGGACCACTAGCTGTCCCGAGTGACAGATGAGTGATCTGACTGCAGATGAACACTCTCCCCTGCTCAAATGGCTAACACACTCCCCGCTCGGCACCTCACCTGACGCCACCACGGTGCCGGCCCACAGTGTGTTCTCGATGCCCAGGCTCTCGCTGACCGGAGGGTCGCTGTCCTCCTGGAAGAGACCAGACAAGCACACGTTCACTGCAGCCGTCCCTGGGAATCCCACAGGGGCCATTCCCGGACCCCAAGGGAGACAGAAACCCACGTTGCTCAAATGCCTAAAGGGGGCAGCATTGGCACTGCCCTCACCCCGCTCCGTGGAGTTTAAATCGTCTCTCAGCGACTCCCAACACCTGCTGTAAGCACTGTCTTCCTTTAGGGAAGACAGCGAGGAAAAGTCCACACGTGTTCAGCACCGACGTGGCTTTTTAAGACTCTTCCGACGTGCGGCCGGCGGACGCCTCAGAGGCACAACCCGTGGATCCGGGGGCCGTCTGAGCTGTTTCTAGCTTGCTCGTCTCAGGACGGGACGCCGAGGGGTGCACTGGATCAGACCGCGTGCTCGTCTGGAAGCCACAGCCGAGCCCGCCTCCCGCCTCGGAGCTCCCCGGGCCCACAGAGATGCTCGGGCTCAAACCAGGGCAGGTGTTCAACACCGCGAAGATGCGTCAAGGGGTAAGAACTGAAATGTGGCGCTCCGCTGGCGAGTCCCGGGGCTTCAGGAGTGAGAACACGGATGCAAACAACTCAATAGTCCCATGCTGGGGAAATAAACCCAAATGTAGCATCTAGGCTGAAAGGCCTGGAAGTGGCTTCAAAACTGCCAGACAGGTCAGCGGAACAGAAGCCCTGCAGGAGGCAGGAGGGACCACCTGCAGAATGACAGCACGGGCTCTGGGTTCGAGACCAGAAGGAAGGCAGGTGTGCTGGCCTGATCAAGGGGCGGCTGTCACGGTGGGCTTCCGCCTCCCCCCAACCCTCAGCCCACCTGGCTGGAAACCCCGCCTTGGCCACGCCCCACCCCCAGGCCCTTCCTGCCACTTACCCTGGTGAACGTCCCCACAAAGTGGTGAATGTCAATGTTTGGCTCCTCCGCATACACGTACGATCGGACCTGAAGAAGGTCCTGTCCCACACAGGGGACAGTGTGGAGATAAAAAACAACAGTCAGTTGGGGGTCAAGGTCTCAGGAGGCGCCCACTGTGCGTGAGCAGAAGCAGCTGTAACTGCGCGTGGCCGGGCTCTGGGCCCCATCTAGAGGGCGCTCAAGTTGGGTGAGTGCAAAGCGGGGAGATCAGTCATCTCGTGATGGCAGAGAGAAAAGGAGAGAGCTGTGCTTCCCACACACAGCGAACAGGCTCTCAAAATCACCCAGCAGGCAGAAAGAAGAGCAAAATCCACCGTCAGGTGAGTTTCGGAGATGCTGAGACCATGGCGAGACACCCTGAGGCTGCAAAGAGGGACCCGCTCCTCTGAGGGCACACAGCATTCTCCAGCCTCAGCCCAGGCCGCAGCTGGAACACCCAGTCCAGGGTCGGCTGAGCTCCGGCTCCCGTGGCCTCTTAGCTCTTAGCCTCTTAGCTCTTAGCTCTTAGCCTCCTTGAATGGGGCTTCTGAGCTTTGGGAGGAGCGGAAAAGGAACGAGAGGCCTCACACCTGTTGAGATGGCTGCTACAGAAATAACAGGGGCCGGCCCTGTGGCACAGCGGGCTAAGCCACCTGCGGTGCCGGCATCCCACATGGGCGCCAATTTGTGCCATGGCTGCTCCTCTTCCGATCCAGCTCTCTGCTATGGCATGGGAAAGCTGCAGAAGATGGACCAAGTGCTTGGGCCCCTGCACCCACGTAGGAGACCCAGAAGAAGCTCCTGGCTCCTGGCTTTGGATCGGCCCAGCTCTGGCCGCTGCAGCCATTTGGGGAGTGAACCAGCAGATGAAGATCTTTGTCTCTGTCTCGCCCTCTCTCTGTAACTCTACCTCTCAGAAAAATAAATAAAATCTTTAAATAATAATAATAATAGTGGCTGCCATAGTGAGTAAAGCCACCATCTGCAAAATTGGCATCCCATATGGGCACCAGTTCACGTCCTGTCTGCCCCACTTCCAGTCTAGCTCCCTGATGGTGGCCTGGGTAAAGCAGAGATCGAAGATGGCCCAAGTCCTTGGGCCCCTGCACCTGCATGGGAGACCCGGAGGAAGCTCCTAGCTCCTGGCTTCAGACTGGCACAGCTCTGGCCATTGCAGCCAATTGGAGAGTGAGCCATTGGATGGAAGACCTCTCTCTCTCTCTCTGCCTCTCCTTCTCTCTCTATGCAACTCTTTCAAATAGTGGAGGATGGTCCAAGTGCTTGGGCCCTAAACCCCATGGGAGACCAGGAGAAGCACCTGGCTCCTGGCTCCTGCCTTCGGATAGGCGTGGTGCGCTGGCCGCAGCACACTGGCCACGGCGGCAATTGGAGAGTGAACCAATGGCAAAAGGAAGACCTTTCTCTCTCTCTCTCACTGTCCACTCTGCCTGTCAAAAAAATTAAAAAAAAAAATCATTCTATCTCTCTCTCTCTCTTTTGTAACTCTGACTTACAAAATAAATCTTTAAATAATAATAATGATAAGGGGCCAACATATGGCACAGCAGGTTAAGTTGCCATTTGTGACACTGGCATCCCACATCCAAGTGCAGGTTCCAGTCCCAGCTACTCTGCCCATGCTCGAGCTTCCTACTAACACACCTGCCTCTCACATGGGAGACCCAGATGGATTTCCTGGCTCCTGGCTTTGGCCTGACCCAGCCCTGGCTGTTGTGGGCATTTGGAGAAGTGGACCATTAAATGGAAGACATCCATCTATCTCTCTCTCTCTCTCTCTCTGTCTCTCTCTCTCTGCCTTTCAAAAATAAAATGTTATTATTTTTCCTCTATATCGTCATCCCCTCATCTGTGATTTCAGCTACCCAAGCTCAAAAAATAAACACTCTATTATTAATTATGTTAATTAATTAATGTTAATCTCTCAGTGTACTTAATTCCTAAGTTCCACCTTACTGTGGGCACGGCTGTTGCTGTTCAGGACTGGGTACTGTCCTCGGCTCCAGGCATCCACAGAGGGAGCCGGAGCGCACACACTCAAGCTCCCTCCTGCATGACAGGGACTGACGAGACGCTGCCGTTTCTCCACGGCTTCTGCTCCCTAACAGGAAAGGGATTCGCTAGGAGGGCTCTGGAGTACCGACCCCTGACCATTCACCTGCTGGTCACAGATAAGGCTCTGTACACACAGACCGAGGGTAGACCCCAGCCCCACAAACCAGCAACCTGAGTTTGGAAGAACTGCTAGCCCCCTGGCCTCAGTCTCCTTCAGTGTTCACCATGGGTTAGGGGAGCAGAACAGGTCCGAGAGGCAATACGGGAGGCCTGGCCCCACACCTGCCACAGCAAGACATGTCACAGGACATGTCTGACCAGGGGCCGGAGGTCACGCCTGCTGTCCCCGTGCCCAGCTCTGCCAGCACCAGGTATCTGCTCCCCTCCCTCTCTCCATTCTTCATACTTCCTGTGCGTTTTAACACAATTCGTGCAAAACCAGCACTACTGATCCTGAGGACAAGCTAGAGGGCAGGACAGGGGACAGAGACATCCTGGCCCTAAGGACGGTGTTGAGCGAAAAGCCACAGGTCCCCCTGCAGCCTGCTCCAGCTCATCCCAGGCCCCCACTCAGCTGCAGGGGCAGGGGACCCCAAATTCAGTGAAGCCGGAGCAGGCTCATTTGTCGGTGGACCATTACGTACGGCCCACGAATGATGTTACAAATATCCAAGTGGCCCTTGGCAGAAGAAAGGTCCTCACCGCATGAGAAGATCCTGCTCACCCCATTCACCTGACCTTCAGAGGGAAGCCGGGACTCCCTCACTAGGCAAGTCTCACTTCTGCACCTGACGCCTGATTACAGGTGCCAGATAAACGGGGAACTACCCGTGAAGATGAAGGGGTGGGGGCACCCTCACATCTATGAACACGACGCAGGTGGAAGCAAGGATGGGCCGAGCTTTCCAACTTCACCAAACGACCGACATTTACGCGGTCCATGAAAACCTGGCCCTCTGGGTTTCACAACCAACCAGGGGCAAAGTGGATAAAGCCACTGCCTGTAACACCGGCGCCACATACGGGCATCGGTTCGAGTCCCGGCTGTTTCACTTCTGATCCAGCTCCCTGCTGATGGCCTAGGAAAGCAGCAGAAGACGCCCCAAGTGACCGGGCTCCTGCCACCCACGTGGGAGACTGGAAGAAGCTCCTGGCTCCTGGCTTCGGCCTAGCACACCCCAGCCACTGCAGCCATCTGGGGAGTGACCCAGCAGATGGAGGACCTCTCTCTCTCTCTCTCTGCTCCCTCTCTCTGTGTAACTCTTTCACATAAATAAATGAATCTTTAAAAAAAAAAAAAAAAAAAAAGAGAGAGAGAGAGAAAGAAAGAAATAAGGATTCAAGCAAACCTGGACCAACATCCTGACCTGGAAACAGGGGTCTACAGTGGAGGAGGTGCTCCTGGCCTCCCCCCGACCCAGGCAGCCTCTGCACTGACCACCAGCCAGGAGGTGCCACACGCATGCGTGTTTGCACTGTGGTCTGTGTGTTGATAAGCAGAAGCCTAAAGACAACACTGAGGCGAAAAGCTGAGAACAACAAACACTCTGATCCCAATTACGTGGGATCACCAGCCACAGACAGGCCTGCAGCTGTGTGTCCGACAGAGAAGGATCTGGAAAGCCCATAGCGGTTCTGCCTGATCCCCTCTGGGAGGAAGACAAGAACTGGGGCAGAAGCCGTGAGTGACATTTTGCTTTTCCTCCCACAGCTTTCCATAGGATTGATTTTTAATTTTTAATTTTGACCTAATTTAAAAGGCAGAGAGAAAGAGAATCGAGATCTCTCATCTGCTAGTTCACTCCCCAAATGCCCACAGCAGCCAGGGTTGGTCCAGGCTAAAGCTGGGTGCCAGGAACTCCACCTGGGTCTCCCATGTGTGTGGCAGGGGCCCGAGTGCTTGGGCCATCACCCACTGTTCCGACCAGTTGGACGGAATTATTTGAGCCATCAGCTGCTGCCTCCCAGGGTGTGCTCAGCAGGAAGCTGGAATCAGACTCAAGCACTGTGATGGGGTGCAGGTGTCTCACCAGGTAGTTTAACCCCTGCACCAAACGTCCACCCTTGCATCTTTTTTTTGGCCAACTAGATATCTCTATATTACTCAGGTAATCTCTTCACATAATTACTTTCACCTAAATTCTGGTTACGATGCTACCGCCTGCTCAGACCCCACAGGCCCACAAAGCCCTGGACCAGACAAGGGGCAAAGGGAATGTGTATTAAACCAGGCGACACTTCCAAGGGCACCGAGACACCCGACCCTGTGCCGTGGCGTGTGCTGCCGTCTCCACTTCCAGGCTCTTCCAGACTCTAGAATGCAGTTCTTCAAGTCACTCTGAGGCTTTCTTTGGAGACCTCTTACGAGGAAGCAACTCATGTCCCCCAGGGAAAATCAGGCCAGGTGGATGGATTAGCTCCATCTCACTCTCGGGCACCACGGTGCTCTAAATGCTCCCAGGCTGGGGTTAGAAACCTGCTGCCCCAGAATTCCTGGTTAAAGATTAACCAGGGCTACGGTGCCGTCTCGCTTTTGATCGGCCGTGAAAGAGGCGTGTGCTGGCCGCGCTGCCAGGGGAGCTCCGTGAGGAGAGGGCGGCTCCGCCCGCCTGCACCGTCCTGGCAGACAGCATCGACACAGCAGACACGGGCAGCGTCAGAGCGTCCGGATCCTTCCAGACCGCAGGTGGGACAGGCCGCTCTCTGGGCGCTTATGCTACCCTCGGCCCAGCCTACGCACGGCAGGGCCTGCTCGCAGGGCCCCTGCTTCGGGAGAACGGCACGAAAACGCAGCTCTGCCAAGGTGCCTTGTGCACAAACGCTCAGGGACACGCTGTGCTGCCCGGCCCGGCCACAGCGGCCAGCAGCGGGCTCCTAGTGGAGGAACCAGCCAGGGCAAACGCCCAAAGCAGAAGCTCCCTTGGCGTGGGGCCGGGGAGCTGAGGGCAGCGGGGCGGCCCAGAGCTTGGAGAGACAGCAGAGCACACGGAGAACAGCTGCGGGACACACTCCCAGGGGATGAGAGGCCGCCGGACGCTCGGGGCTCACCTTGCCCAAACTGGCCAGCTACCAAGTCCAGGTCCTTAACTCATTCAAGCTGCCTTTGCAAAGAGCTGGTTCCCTGCAGGCAGGGTCTGCCTAGGGCACGGCCATGGGAGCGGGAGCGGACACCCGCCCCAGGCCCCTGCAGGCCCCAGCAGCCGCCCTGCGCACCCGGCACAGCACACCTGAGCCGGAGAGCCCTGCTCCGACCAGGCGCCCGCGGCTGCAGCCTGGACAGCTACTCACGGCGGCAGTGGGGAGCCTCTGCGTGCCGGCCACGGGGAGCCGCAGCTTCCAGTCCGTCTCTCCGTCCAGCTGGTCAGTCCGCAAGAAGCAAGACCCTGTGGGAGGAAGCCAGGAGCCATCTGGTCACCTGTGATTCAGGACCTCCACCTTGGCCACGCTGGGCAACCCTCGCTCTGCGAAGAGAGCCGAGCAGCGGCCAGCACCCAAGATGGAAAATAAACACCTGCTTCCCCTTGCTCCATGAGCTCTGGGCCGCAAACGCCTGAGTCCAAATGGTGGACGTGACCTCCTGCTAAGCCACAGCGCATCCTCGTCTGGACAAGCTGCCTGGGAGGATTGGGAGGGTGACAGAGGGCAGTCAGCACGCAGAGCCCAGCCTTCCAGGCCATCGGGCACCTCCTCAGGAACCGGGCCACCTGGGTTCAAGTCGGGGCTCTGCCACTACTAGCTTTGTGCCCTCAAGGCGAAGCCGGGCACAGTGGCCAGGGCAGCGTCTGCTGTGATGACTGAGGAGCACGGCTCATGCTGGAAGCCAGAATCCGAATGCTGCTCGGTCTCGGGCTTCCCGAGCACCGGTGACACCACGAGCGGGAAGCCGTCCATGCACAACGTGGTTAAAGATCGCAGAAGTTCACTGGTTCAACATCGCATAAAATCCCCTTCCTGCTAAGAGCACAGGTATACGCGAAACACGAACGGCTTCCACAGAGTGGGCCCCACCCCCAGCAGTCCAAAAATATGAAAAAATCCAAAATTTAAAACACTGTTGGTCCCGAGCAATTTGGATAAGAGCATGACTGTATGGGCTGGTATGTTCTACGGATCATGACACAGTCTGACATACAAGTCCACACAGTCAGCTGCAGATGGAAAACTTATCCAATTCACCGGCACTGCTACTGAGACGGAGCACCCAGATGCGTGTTTTTGGTGGAGACGTGGGTGGTGCATCGGGGCCTTAACCCACAGTGCTCAGTTCTTTCTGCACGGGACACAAGAGCCAATGTGAAGGCAAAATTGTGGTTTTTAGAAGATGACTTTGAACCTCAGACCTTCGACCCCCTCTCCTGAGGACTTGACGTATCAGTCATATAAAACTGCACTGGCACTTTTATCTGATGCACAATAAAACAGGTCACGGCGACCTCAAAGGAACAGGAATGCAAACTGTTGAGATGTCCAGAATCTCAGATTGGGCTGATAGGAAGAAAAACCGGTCTCGCTTCCTCACAGAAAATCCTAAGTGAGGAGGTTATGAGCCCAGACAGCACACGGGAGAGGGTGGCAGTGACTGCAGGGGGAAGGGTCTCAGTCACTCCCCAGACCCTGGCTATGATAAGCCGCCTGGCAGGTGCCACGGGCACGGTGCCTGCTGTGAGCCGAGGGCACAAAGGGCACGCACCTGCTCCCCGTCCCGACAGCCCATCTCCCCACGCCTCTCCCCATGCCTCCTGAGAAGACGGACTCCCTGTGCTGCTCTGGCTACACACAGCTCCGCCTCCGGCCGTCCCAGCTGAGCCCCAGGGGGAGGAGAAGCAAAGCCTGCCTGCGTGGGTGACGTCAGCAGGCGTCCCCCAGCCCCGCTTGTTCATACCAGGCTCTGCTGACCCGAGAGCACCCACGGCGTTTCGTTCAGACCGCTGGACTAAAAAAGATGCTTTTGATGCGCCTCCGTGGCTCCAAAACGATAAAATCTACTTCTGTGACATTTCCAAATTATTATTTTGCCAAATTACCACAGAAAGGTTAATGGTTCTTTTCCAAATTGGTCTCAGATGTTTACCGTTTTTTTCGGACGTCCTCAGGAAGATCATGTCAGCAGGGACCCGCTGGTTCTGTGTCATGAAAAGAAAGCCTGTTACTGGGCAGGCCCCCCCTCCCGGGGGGTTTCCGCCCCCCACCCTGGCCCTAGGCCCTACGCTGGGGAGGGGAGGGGCCTAAACCCACCAGCACTTTTAAGTTTTTGCCCCTGTCAAAGACAGACTTGGGGATTTATTTTGTTTTGAATCTGAAAAATCTTGCACACGGCTGCTACTCTGCTAATCCCCTGGTGAAATCTTATCTCACAAAGGGAGCTCCAAGTTTTTGTAGCAAATCCCACCCTGAAATTCCAGCCCCAGGACTGGGGGCTGCAAACCCACCCCGCCTGGCCCTCCTCCAGGTCCCTGGGTGGCGGAGACTCCAAGGTGGACCTCCTGGGCTCCTGCCTTCTGCTTCTACCTATCTCCCAGCTTCGGGGGCGGGGGTGTTAATAAGGAAGTGAAGGAGGAAGCAGCAGCAAATGTCATCCCCAGAAAAGGGGGAGCCCTGGGCGCCCCTGTGGGACGTGTGACTGCCGCGGAGCCCTGGCCACACCGGGGCGGGCTCGCCAGGCTCCGCTGAGCTGCCACCCCAAGCAGCTTCACTTCACCTCAAATCAACTCTGAGTTCTCGGATTTAATCCTTTTAAAAGAGCATAGTTCAATTCCTACAGAAACAAGGGAGGACATAATCCTTTTCTAATCAAATATTATTCTAAGGCTCTCCAGGACTGCCCCTCAAATCCGACACCCTCTAAACACATCCTGCCCAAAGAGATATGGATGTTTGCAGAAGTAACCAACACATTAACACTGCCATTTTAAAAAGGGTGCTTCCGCCCTTGTTACTGTTCTCACAGTCTGTTCCCCATAAAACGGTCAGCAAGCACAGTGTTTAAGTGCTGAAATGACTCAGGGATAAATGAGATAAATATTTTGGAGTATGTAGCAAGCACGCTTTTAGGAAAAATTTTATGATAATTTTCTATACTTCCAAAACAATAAACGTATTGGCCAGGAAATCAAAGCTTGCACTTGTGTTTATACACAGAAGTCCTGGCTAACCAACACACATAAACCTTGAAGGAATATTTTTCTCTGTGTCTCATGCCAGCTGTTGGACAGAATCCCAGAAGGCATCAACCAGTTCGCCCGCCGGAGACACAGATGCCACATGCAGATCCAGGACGGCACAGCCAGGGCTTCTGGTCTGCCCACGCCCAGGGCAGCCCAGCCGGCCAGCGGCGGCCACTCACCTTCTCCACGATGATGAGATCCCCCACCTGGATGCTGGAGCTCTTCACCTTCACGGTGCCTGCAAGGCAACAGGTCCGAGGTGACTCACGCCCTTCAGAACGGCGTCCGTCTAAACCGTGACCTAGAAGCGTTTCTAAAACCACTACCTCCCCCCGTCCAAAAAAGAGGCTAACCCCAAATGACAGATTTACCCTACCATTTACAATCTCTATACGGCTTGGTTTATACGATCGTGGTCAGACTACATGATTTTTGCCGGCTGTCTATCCGGACGCACAACAAAAGCTGACACCAGGCACGGACCCTGTGCTAAGCACTGCACAGCTGTCGGCGGCCTCGGTTCATCTGCACAGTCACCGTCAGAAGAAGCCAGATGCAAGTCTCAGAGCGGGAACAGGTCCGCGCCACTGGCACCCACGTCTACGTGCAGAGTGAGGGACAAACATCGGCGAGCTGAGCTCAGCGCTAATAAACACAAGGCTGAGTGCTGCGTCCTTCGGGTGAAAGACGGTGCCCGCGGCCTTGGAGAGGTCAAAGTCCAGTCCTGGAGTCAAAACCCACATCCCCTAAAGAGCTCACACAGGAAAGCTAAGGTCCCCTCCGCCCCGGCCAAGAGGCAGTGTCCTCAGCCTGCTGACAGGTGTTCGCCCCAAAAGGCGAATCATCTTTTGTACGGTTCATTTTTACCTCTGAAAACCTAAAAGCCATCTTGGCTCTCAGGCTGTACAAAACCCAATGGGCGGGGCTGAACATGGCCCACGGGCTTTGGCTCCGACCTTCTCTTCTGGTGAGAGAGGCCATCGGCCGGACGCCGGGAGTGCCAGAGCGCATGTGCAGGGTGACGGCAGGTGCGGGGTGCTCAGGGAGCAGGCAGGAGGGGAACCTGCCCTCCAGAGTAGGACCCGGAGCAGCACCCAGCACTCAGACAGCACTTGCTCGCTCACTCAACAGTCAAGTAACATCTGCTGATGCCTCCGACGGGCCGGGGATACTGGGAACTCAAACTCTAGTGGAGGGAGGGAGAAGTAAATAATGAACGAGTGGTGCTGGAGAACCAGCGCAGTGGATGTCAAAAACTCTGCCGGAGAGCTGAGGCCAGAGAGAGCCAGGCCAAGGGCACTGTGGTCACCGGGATCCAAGGCGAAGGCAGCCTGAGCTCGGGCAAGTGGTGTCCCCAGGGCTGCACTGCGCACGTGGGGCCTCCAGACCCAAAGCATGACATGGAAAACAGGGAACGGCAAGAGACGAGGTGGCAGGGCCAGTGGGGCCCAGGCCATCCTGCACCCTGTGGGCAAGTCCAGGGGGAAGTGGGCCTTGATTCTGATCAGGTTTTCATACAAGGTAGCAAAGTCCAACAACATTTACTGGTCACTGGTGTCTCCTAAGAGGCCCATCTGACTTACCAACGCTCAGCCAGGACAGGAGCCCCTCAATCAGTGTGTCCCCCAGGGCAAGAGCGAGAAGGGAGACAGGAGCTGCTCTTCTCAGGGGAATTCATCAGTCCACAAACACCAGCCTCACCCACCAGTCTCCTCTGCTTTATAAAGACTTAAATACTCTGGGCCTGGCATTGCAGTGCAGTGGGTGAGGCCGCCGCCTGTGACACTAGCATCCCACACTGGAGTGCCAGTTTGAGTCCTGGCTGCTCCACTTCTGATCGAGCTCCCTGCTAAGGCACCTGGGAAGCAGCAGAAGACAGCCCACGTGCTTGGGCCCCTGCATCCGTGTGGGAGACCCGGATGGAGTTCCCAGCTTCTGGCTTCAGCCTGGCCCAGCCCCAGCTGCTGCAGCCACATGGGGAGTGAACCAGAGGATGGAAGCTATCCCCCACCCCAACCTCTGCCTTTCAAATAAATATATATATAAATAATAGCTAATCCTCCGCCTGTGGCGCCAGCACACCGGGTTCTAGTCCCGGTCGGGGCGCCGGATTCTGTCCCGGTTGCCCCTCTTCCAGGCCAGCTCTCTGCTGTGGCCCAGGAGTACAGTGGAGGATGGCCCAAGTGCTTGGGCCCTGCACCCCATGGGAGACCAGGATAAGTACATGGCTCCTGCCATCAGATCAGCGCGGTGCACCGGCCGCAGCGCACTGGCCACAACAGCCACTGGGGGGTGAACCAACGGCAAAGGAAGACCTTTCTCTCTGTCTCTCTCTCTCACTGTCCACTCTTCCTGTCAAAAAATAAAAAAAAATAAAAAAATTTTAAAAAAATAATAATATATTTAGAAAGGAAATAATCTCTGTGCCCAATGCCACAGTATTTTATAATTTCTCATATTTTACCGTATTTAACATAATTCAAAGCCATGTAGAGTTTAATTCACCACCACTGAGATTTTTCAAAGCATTCAAATGATGTCTATTGAAACAACCCCCTTTTAACATGTTCTGCAGAGTCTGACTGTAACTAACTTCTGTGTTTCCTCAAACTTGGTCATTATGACAGTCTGTATGCCAAGACAACAGACTTCAAGAAAGTGCTCAGCAAACAGTGGGGCTCTGAACCACCCCTCAGTGGCTGCCGGGGTCTCTGCCCGCCCAGTGTCAGGGTCTTGCCCTCTTAAGTGAGCCCGCAGCCCTGAATAGTGCTTTCTAATCATAAAACATGATGCTGGGGACAGCGCTGTGGTGTAGTGGGTAAAGCCTTCAGTGCCAGCATCCCATATGGGCGCCAGTTTGAGTCCCAGCTGCTGCACTTCCAATCCAGCTCTCTGCTTCGGCATGGGAAGGCAGTGAAAAGTAGCCAGAGTCCTTGGGTCCCTGTACCCACGTGGGAGACCCAGAGGAGGCTCCTGGCTCCTGGCTTCAGATCAGTGCAGCTCTGGCCATAGAGGCCAGCTTGGGAGTGAACCAGCAGACGGGGGACCCCCCCACACCTCTCTGTAACTCTGCCTTTCAAATACATAAATAAATAAATAAATCTTTTTTTTTTTTTTTTTTTTTTTTTTTTTTAAGATGCTATCCTGTGGCCTGAGCTGGGGAAACACAAAAAGCTGGAGAGACCCATTAGCCTGGAGCTCTGCCGTGCAGTCGGCTTTGGTCAGTGTATTACGGAAGGGCTGGAGAACACACACTAATCCAGAGTTAGAGACATGTCTCTTGGCACCTGCAGGGACATGGTTCCAGAAACCCCCTGCCAATAGCAAACTCCACCAAGGCTTAGGAATAACACGATGTAGTATTTGCATATAACCCAAGCATCTATGGGGATACTTTTAAAAGTCATCTCTAGATAACTTGTAATACCTAACACCAGGTAAAGGCTATGGAACCATCAACATCTTAGATCCAACTACACAGTGCGTGTCAGCAACAATGTAACATTCTCAGGCTCAGGCTGGTTGAATCCTGGGATGCAGAACTTGGGGAGCTGGAAGCCCACTCTGGTTAGAAATAGGTAGAAAGAGGCTGACTGACAGATTCTTCTACTGCCTGACCCACTGCCAGGGGCCACGGGCCACGTGCTCACACGCAGGCCCTTCTTCCTGGAGACTTTATGAAGGTGCTGCTGCCAGGAAGATCGTAAATTCAGCGAGGCCCTCGGCACCAGGGAACTTTCCCAAACATAAATTTACACGTTGTTTTGGGGTTTTGCTACGAAAATTTATGCCGCTGGCCTGACCCGCACGGGCACACCTGTGTTCAGATCTGCACGAGGTGCTGAACCACGTTTCCCTTCAGCTCTCGCTCGAAGAAGGGCAGATGTCTTAACGCCTACTGCTTAATAATTGCAGTGTACACGGGTGTCCGTGGGACCAGGGGGAAAGTCAGGATTGCACACCAAGAGGTTCTTCCCAGGACGTGGGCGTGCCCCCCTTCTCTCGCACTCACAGCCCTCGGCTCTGCACATTTGATGTTTACAGTAAGCACGAGCTTGCTTTTCCAGCAAGAAAAAAAAATAACAAATTAAATCAGCTCAAAGGTTTAAGAGAGCAGACCCAGACCTTGCCCCTCTGCAGCTGAGTCCTGATTTACGATCAGTTCGTCTGAACCCTGCCTCTCGGTCCATCTGCTCTGCCTCAACCAAACCCCCTTTAATCCACGCTGTTTGCAGAGCTCTTGCCAAGTAACCCCAGCAGGCCGACCCTTCCCGCAAACACTCCGACTGTACCTGCCACCCGGCAGCCCCCAGGTCTCTCGTCCCCTGTCAGGAGGAGGACAGGGGTCACTCTGTCACTCATTAGCATTCTACAGTCTGGGGTGTGAGTCTCAGCCAACCAACAGAGACCCTCAGGTTCCCAGACCCCAGTGAGCTACACTGGGTGCTCTCCATAAACACGGGCTTTCTTCCCCACATTGCCATTTTTGGGTGATCAAAATTATGTAGTTTGGGGGGCTGGCACTGTGGCATAGCAGGTAAAGCTGCCACCTGCAGTGCTGGCATCCCATGTGGGCGCCTATTTGAGATCTGGGAGCTCCACTTCTGATCCAGCTCTCTGCTATGGCCTGGGAAAGCAGCAGAGGACGGCTCAATTCCTTGGGCCCCTGCACCCACATGGGAGACCTGGAGAAAGCTCCAGGCTCCAGGCTCCAGGCTCCCGACTCCAGGTCGGCCCACTCCAGCCACTGCAGCCATCTGGGGAGTGAACCAGCAGATAGAAGACCTCTATTCTCTCTCCCTCTGCAACTCTGTGCTTCAAATAAATAAATAAGTGTTTTGTTTTTTTTAATATGTAGTTTTGGCAGCATGTTGCACATGGTGTGTGTGCGTGCACGTGTGTATGTGTGTGTGTGTGTGTGTGTTATCACTCAGAAAAGACAAAATCAGAAGAATGAAAAGGAGAAAACATAGCAAGAAAAAAAAGAAAAAGAAACCAGGCCCTGGGGTTGGTGTGGTGGTGCAGCCAGTTAGGTCGCCCACCTGGATGCTGGAATCTCATATGGGCGCAGGTTCAAGCACTGGCTGCTCCTCTTCCTATCTAGTTCCCAGCTAAGACTCCCAAGATAGCAGCAGCAGATGGCCCGCATGCGAGATCCGGATGAAGCTTCTGGCTCCTGGTTTCAGCCTGGCCCAGCCTCAGCCATTGCAGCCACGTGGGGAGTGAACAAGCAGATGG